CCATCGAACTTGTTAAAAATATATTATGGTGGTTCGGACCAGACTTTCTTCAACATTCTCGAGACGACTGGCCAAGCCCCCACAACATTTTGGGAATCGCCGGACCAACGGCGCACTATTGGCGATTTAGGGGAAAAAATTTTCAAAATCAAATTGCACCTCTCAGAGGTGAGATAAACCTACGATTCATTTTTTGTGTAAAGGATTTTTATTGTAGAATAAGGGAAAATTACAAAGAAATGCGACTCTGAAGTTGCACAATTACAGGACTCATGGAAAGGACGAGAATTAAAAAAAAAATTGAAAAAACAAAAAAAAAAACAAAAACAGCATGACTCGTAAATTAAATTGAATCAACGTGGAAGTATAAACTTTCAAATAAGACCAAAATCAATACAATCTATGGGGCCATTCCAGTGTTATGCGTGTTATGTTTTTTACGCTAAGGATTTTTTGCTAATGCCATCAGATCTATACCGTTAATTCAATTTTTAAAATGTATGTGCCAAATTAAGGGGCTTGACATTTAGATGTGCAGTAAGGTTTAATTTTTTTTTAAAGAGTTGCCACCAGTTAAAAAATTAGATTCAAATTATTTAGTAAGGTTAATGAATTATGTACATATTACAATATGAGTATCAATCGAAATAGCTTTGAAAATTCTTTATTTTTAAACTAAATGTAGGAGGGTTGCCACCTGTTTAAAAAGCTAAATTCAATTTCAGCGTTTTAACCTTAACTGGTAGAATAATTAATAATAACACAATCAAATTGAATATAACATGGTCAACATGAAAAATAAGTAATTCGTTAATAATTAAACTTCACTTACTTTTAAATTATCGTGCATTCTCAATAGAGGCAAAAAACCCAATTATATACAAGATGGGCGGAAAAAAAGGAGAAGAAATAATGAAGGAAATGGTCGTCCGTTCTTTTCCATATCATTTATAGACAGATTGTTAATGCAGAAGGAAGTGAAACAGAAGACGAGAGCATCTCTAACAATGATTCTGATAAAGAACTTATTATATAATTATCATTGTTAGCAAGGTTAATTTTAATTTACGATTTGTTGACCATATCACTTTATATTCAATTTTATAGTGTTATTATTAATTATTCTATACCTGTTAAGGTTAAAACGCTGAAATT